ACGCTCTCTTAGGTAGGGCTGGAGGGTGCCCAGCCCAGGAGCCTGCCCCCAGGCAGAGCACTCACCTCCCTCATTCCTCTTGCCCTCTTTCCTTGGACGTTCCTCCAGCAAGATGCAGAGCTGCCTGGAGAGGTTTTTATTCAAACTTCTTTTTAAAGACTTTTTGGACCTTTGGGAGCTCTGGCATTTGCATCCTGGGGCAGGTAGTGTGTTTCCCAGTTTTGCCCTGCACTGGGGCCACTGGCACTTCTCTTTGCTTAGAATTTGGTTTTAAACACATCACCTGTGCCAAGGCATGGTTTCACCTGTGTTTACACATGAGTAGATATTACTGCAATCTTTCCCATCTGGATTTTTTTTGTGAGCATAATTTTTGATTGCTGTTTCAAACAATAAATCATTATTTCCTGCTTCCCAGGTATGGCAATTGTGTATTTACAACATGAGTTAAAATTTAACAACACATTTAGCTCCAGCCTGCACAATTCTGAGAAACAAAATGCTGGGAAAGATGGCATAGAATCACAGAACAGGTTGGGTTGGAAGGGACCTTAAAGATCATCTAGTTCCAAACCCCTTGCCATGGTATAAAACAAGTAAAATCATGCTGTGCCTGTACTCACACCTTTGGTTCAACAGCTGCCAAGGAATGAGTCGCCTGGAAGCTACACATCTGGAGCAGGCAGAAAGCAGTGGGGACAGTGGCTGTGTTCAGCTGGGCATGTCCTCTACTGGCTGTAAGGAGCAGAGCTGCACAACCTCACAGCTGGACCATAGTGATCCATGTCCATGTGATTAGATGCTCCTGCACCATGTCCCTGTGCAGGAAACAGACTTGCTCTGCTGTAAAGGAAGCCAAAGTTCCCCTTGCCACTTCCTGTCTGCGGTACTGCCCTTGCAGTATAGCTGTCAGCGTTTCTGCACACCCACTCCTGACCCCACCACTGGGGTGGGTCTTAACTGAAAACACTGGAACTAGGTCCCAAAGTTTCTCACATTATTCTTCAAGGTTAACTGCTTGCACTAGACTCATCTCAGCATCACAGCATTCCTTAAATATGTACCATTTTTCAAAATGCAAATATGACTGGGGAAAAACATTACAAGTTTTGCCCTTCATGTATCTTTTTATTTGGGTTGTCGGCTACCACAGCCTCCACAGGCAAGACATCACAGTTGCAGACAGGAGGTGAGCAGCTTCTTTTCCACAGTGCAGTGACCAGGGTGGCAGTACCCATAATAACCTATCTGTGGGAGAGCCAAGCTCAGTTTTGTCTTCCAAACTGGGCAGATTAGGGTGTTTAAAAAGAAATCCCCATTTCAAAAGCAAGAACATGGGTATATCTGTTAAAAAGAGCAGCTATTTTCCTCCCCACTTGTCTTTGTGCCACTCTTCTGTGCAGGACCAAAGCCTCAAGCTCTATGTACTTCAAAGTCTCATCTGAAAACGGGATGGCAGCAGCATACGAGCACAGCAGGACCTACTCTGTATGCTCAGTTGCCCAGGGCTCCCTCACCAGGACAGAGCCTGGCACAGTGTCTGCCCCACTGAAGCCATGTGCAGTTAGAGCCTACTATTACCAAGGGAAATGCAGGAGAGGAAAGAGTGCACTGCTGTGTCCAGGGACCAAAAGTGAACTCAGAAGGAATCTCCCCTGCTTAGTTTAATCTATGCTTGGTCTCCAGGACAGCAAAGAGAATAAACACAAAGGCCTTAAAGTTCAAAACATTCACAGCTTTGTCATTTAACTATACTTCAGCAGCTCTAAGAAAATACCACAGAAAAAGCTTCACTAAGAAACCTGTAAATCACTGGGGCTTAGGGGAAAAATATCTCCAAACTTTACAACATGGTACCTTTCAAACAAAAAAAAGGCCTGAAAGTCAGGAAGTCAAGGCTAAACAAGTACTGCATCTCATTTTAAGGACATCCAAAAATCCAGATATTTAACTCTGATGATCAAACCACTTTGAGTTGTTCATATCTACCTTATGGCTTGTGCCCATGAATTCCATATGATAAATGCAAAATACAGTCTTTGGGTACATTTTTGTAAGTCTGTGAACTCTAAAATCAGTTTAAGGAGATAATTTGCAACAGTTCAAGCTGTTCTGAAAATACCAACAAAACCTTTTCACCCTTCCAAATCCATTTTATTTTCTAGTCTTTACTTTTCATACAAGTGTTAGAACTGTACAGCCACAGCTGTTGCAAAAACACCAACAGTGAGCCCATGCAGCCAATTACTGTTCAGATATGGACTCTTAGGCTTGGTTTAATTTGTCTAGAGGAATATGAGTAAGCATGCTTGATTTTCCAGTTTAAGTAAAGAAACACGCAGCCATCAATCCTTGAAACCTGTCAACCGTAGCAACCAAAAAAGATTAAACACAATGTGAAGCCACTTCACCTCCTAACAAGAGAAGGACAAGACTTCCTGAAGTCTGTTAAGTTTTAACACAGATGGGATTTGAAGCAAAAGCTACACAGATGCCTCAGCTGTGGGTTCCAACTTAAAAAAGCATACTTCCATGGAAGTATACATAATTTAAGGCTAGGCTGCCACCAAACTGAGCTATCTTTTCCTGTACTGCAACTCAAGACAACCAGGCATCTAGCTGATGCGGATTTTTGTAGGGTACTTTCACCTAGATCAGGTTCTTGAAATGAAATGCCAACCTGCAACCATCCCTGCACTTGTTTTCAACTTTTTAAACAACAAACAGGGGAACACACCTGTGCTAGTCCTCTGCAGTGAAAGGGGCCTCTTCCAGTCCAATTTAGAAAACCAAGAACTCTCCTTCCCCCAAGACCCCCATGCTCCTTCCCTGGATACTGTCAGATTCTTCCTTACTGGCTTCTAGCTGCGCACTCTTCTATTGAAGCACCCATTCACACTGTGAGAACAGGC